TCAATCCTCTAAATCTTCAATGATCGTTGTTTATACACACGATTGGATTGCGCCCTACTGGGTCCTTTGCCCCTTTTGGAAGAGGTGGAATAGCTACTATTTGCACAGGGACTGAAATTCGATCAATGTTTTCTTTTTGGATAATCTTGAATTAAATGACTATGTTTCCATACTAATAATTACGGATGAACATGAGTGGAGTTCGGTTAGATTTTCTATTAATTCGATCAAATCCTATAAAAATATATCTTTCACTTAATTTAGTTCGATTCGAGTCTAACATGATTTTAACTAATCATAAATCTGACTTATCTTTTAAGATAAAATATGCATCTAACGCAACTCGACTCGACACAAAAATATATAATTCTTAATTTTATTTAATAAAGTAGGGATATAGTTGAAAAAAAAAATATAGAGAAGTATATTCTTATAACTATCCTTAAATATATATAAGATATAATTATATTATTTTTGGATTAACTCAAATATTTTTTACCCTAAAATCCGACCCGATTCAAACTTATACTTTAAAAAATTTGACCTAAATATATATATATCCAATTAAATTAAATTAAATTAAATTGAAACTCATCGAATTCAAATATTGTTCCCTTCCTGCTAATAACATACTCTGGAAAAACTGGCCACATTCTCCCCGTAAAAATGTTTTAAATTGAGAAATAAATTAAAAAATTATTTAGGTTAAAAAAAGCAAATACTTGAGTTATCCACATAGAAATCAATCCATGAAAGTTAGAACAGGGGAGAGAAGAAAATGATAAACCCGTTAACAGATATCACGATTCAATCTCAACCTCCTTAGGAGGCTGACCAAATTCACATAATTTGGCTAATCAGTGATTTTTTGTGAAAACCCTAATTAAGACCACCTTATCCATTGCATAGAGCCGCTCAAAAAGTAGCTCCAAATCAGTGATTGTCACGTCACTATTTTGGTCGATAAGACAATCATACCCTTAGAAAGCAAAGGATCTGATTGGTATGAACCTCTGCCCAAAACAGGCAGTGGAGGGAGGGCAACCGATGAACGCTTAACTTGGTATCCACGAATGACGCAGGCCAATCGTCCCAGTTCCAAGGAGCCCAGACCAGTAACGAACGAAAATAACCCTGGTCCGCTTGATCTGACGGTCACTATTGATTTCCATCAACACAAGAAAATGCATCAGACGGTCAACCGGCCAATAAATTACCTACACACAAGTAAGTGAATCAGTGACTTTTTTTTTTCCTCTTTTTCGCCTAGTGGTTTAGAACGGATTCTGTTCTATATATATGCAGTGGGGAGCGTCTTGCTTGTATCCTCTCGGTTTTTCTTACTCTTTTTTCTGTCGTTGTGGTTTTTACTTGTTTATATTTTGTTTTCATTTTGAGTTTTGTGCTGTTGATGCGTCACTAATCGACACTATTGTTGTTGGATAAGCTGTTCTGTGAAAGAAAAAGGACACTTGAGTACGTGTCCGACACCCGTGCGTGCTGCATGATGAGAGAGAGACTGAAAGACAAGTGAAAATAAAGACTAGTGATGACGATGAACAACGGGAAGAGTTTTTTTCTTTCTTTCTTCTTGTTCTGATGTTGGGGTTTTGGTTCTTTCAGTTCCTAGCTTATGATTCTTACCAGGTTGTTTTTTTTTCCTTTTTACCTTTATAGGAATGAAAACCCTAAAACATGTCGTTTTTTGAAACCATTTTTTCTGAAAACGGCATGGATCGTGGATTTGAAGGTCTTACTTTTGGTACTTTTTTCCCATTAGTGGCTGTTGTTGTATTTTCAGATCTGACTCTGGGTTTCTTTCCTTATATGGCAAACTCTTTACCTTTTGTTTTTTATTCTTTGGTTCTTCATATGTTTACTGTCTTTGTGTCCTCAAATCCTCATTCTATGGGACATAGAAATTGACAGAAGAGAGTGAGCATACAGAGGCACTTGTATAAGGCTATACAATTGTTTTTGTGTGCTCACTTCTCTTTCTGTCAGATTCCAGTGCCGGAATTTGACCTTTGGGACACTTTTCGGCCTGTTTTTGTTCCATATATTCTCTCTTTTTTCGTCTCCCTTAGTACCTTCCGTTTCCTTCTATGATCTTTGCCATTGATTTGTCTGGAGAGGAGTCGAATTTGACTGCAGGCGCCACTGAAGATGGTTGTCTACTTATGATTTCACTGTGTATTGTAATATGGTTATTTTCTATACCTGTTACTGTATCCCAATATGATTAATTTATGTCAATTAACTTTTTAAATACAATTAATGGATTCAAAGCGTGACTTTTGATGTTATTCACTGTGCAGATTTAGCGGCAAAACGATTAATTAGCATGGGACCATTCGTGTTATCCAGTGCCTACAATTAGCTACTATGGTCCTCTTTAACCAAGCCCTCTTATATAATTTTCTTGGAAATTTTCTTCTTGTTACTTGTTAGCACTATCTTCATCTTTTACATTATTTTATTCCTACGCATGAAACCGTATCCAGATTTCTCCTAGAAATTTGTCTTGCTTGGAGTTCTTTTTTCCACCTGAATCCAGCAGCACCAGGTTGCTTGTATTCTCAGTTGCAAATGGAGCTTCCTATTCGTGAGTTCAATTTATAACCCTATCTTGTAACAGTAACAAGTTGCCTATTTGTAAAACTGGTTGCCTTTTATGTTCCTACTGCAGGGAGATTGATTTTTTTTTGAGTTTTGTAACGCTGAGTCGTGGCTTGTTCATTGGTATAAAATTATTACTCAGTTTGGTATTAACTTGGAAATGCTGATCTTGTTTCATTTAAAGCACTTGCATCTATTTAGCACTTTTGTTTGGGGTCTTTGTAACTTCTTGCGTCTGCAGAAGCATTTAACTCTATGATTGATTTGTACCCAAGGTAAACGTTACATGCAATCGACGTATTTCAATCTGCGCGGTTTTCTTTTGGGAAATGGAAATATTTTACTGTAGACAATAGATGTCTGTGCTTTTAATTTTGTCCTGTTTGCATCCTTTGTTCTTTGATTTCTGAATTCAAAATTATTTGTCTTTATATTGTAAATACATGAACAATGAGACAATACGAGGTCATCTTGTCATCAACTTATGCCTTATTTCTTGGTTAACTACTTTTTTGCAGGCAAAATCTGACTTTGTTACCCGAAAAAGGATGAAGGAAAGGTTGGTTTTATTTTCAGTATACTGTGTGTAGCTCTTTCTAGGGTTTGCATTTCATTAAATATTCAGCACTAGCCACACACATCTTGCTTATACTTTATCGTTGGGGATGATAATATAACATGTATATTTTTACTTGTACTGATTTAACTATATGCGGTTGTTTTTTGCAGGTTTTATATTTCATTAGAAAAAACAATGCCCCATGTATAGCAATCTATTATGTGGAATATGAATTAATTTGGCCTGTTTCATTCGATCCTTTCCCCCCACATCCAAAGGTCAAATTTGTCTGGTCATTTCTTATTTTATTCACTGCTTTCGATCGAACCATGTCTTAATGACAAATGCCATGTATTATTCTTAACAAGATGGTACTGGTAGTCTTTGTATAGATTGTCAAATTGTGGAATCCTTAATGTCATGCAGCCCATCTAAATTCATAATAATGCATGCACCAACTAATTCTTTCAACGCCCTGTGCTCCGATTGTGTCAGAGTATGGTTTTGTTACTAGATAGAAGGAAAAATGGTTGCTTTTACCAATTATGATATTGATTTGGATTTCGGAGTGCTGTTGCTTGTATGAGTCTCAAGGCATTGCACTAATGATCGACTGTCTCCTTAGTTTTAAAACCGAGGCGCAGATAGTCCCGGAGCCTAGGCTTAAGACACATGATGCCTTTCGTAGGCGAGACACTTTTTATGCTATAAAGTTTATAAATCAATTCTATGACATATTCACACTCGTTGCCCATTGGTTCACTCTTAAATCACTTAATCTACCGCCATAGTCTATTTATTTACCATTGTTATTTAAATATTATTTAATTTAATGTTTTATTGTTCAAAACTAATTATATTCACAACTTGCATTTCACCTGGTTTTACAGTCAGATAGAAAGCTCAATGCCAAACGGCTTACATGTCACTGCGTTGTTATCTTTTCTATTTTCTGATTAACTTAGATGATATGTAGTTGGATTCATACATTTAATTATTGCCGTTAATATGTTGTCGGATTCATGTACTTAACTCTTGCCATTAATATATAGTTGGATTCATGTATTATAGAATAAGGAAACTTGTGTAGTCTCCTTACATGAAGGAGCAATGTCTTTTCTACTCTCATTAATGTGATTCGTGTTTTACCCATCACTGTTGTATATTTATGAGAACATAAGGCACAAGAATAAATCTTAAATCACACTTACTTACCAAACTAACATATCTTCGTGAATTCTTTTCTTTTTATTCTTTTTCTATTTCCAATCATAATGCATATGCGGTATGTTTTGGTGGAAGAGACAAAAGAGCAACTGAGCAGGTCTCTCATTCCTAAGACAACAAAAGTGCATGCCTAGAGTCTGTGCAGAAGAGGCCTCAAAGCTCGTGTTTGGGAAGGCTTCTCGTTTTGTAGCGCCTATCTCTCTAAAGTTGTTTTGTTCCGCACTTACCTGCATCTGACGCCTTAGATGTGTTTTGAAAACTAAGATTGTCTCCTTGACTGTTGAGATGCTTTGTCTAATTAACATCTGTTATAGTTTATTTGAAGGTTTTTTTCTCATGAATCTATGATAAGTTTGTCCATGAGTGTGTTCAACATGTATGTGCAGTTGACTACACGGAGCTGTGTTTCTAGTTTCAAAAAACTTATAATTAAATGCAACAGGAACAACGTAAAACTTACAATTAACTTGTTCTTAATTGTAACTTTTCTATTGTTCCTATCGTTATTGATCTCCTATGTAAATGCCCTATGGTGAGTTTAGCACCATAAGCCAAACTTAGCTTTGTAAATAGATTAATTTGTCAGCATGGTGGTTATAATCATGTTTATAATTTTCAAAACTGCAAGATATTCAAATCACGATACTGCTTGGAACCATCTTGAAAACCTTAAAGAATGTACTGAAAACGTATGGTTAGATCAATTTGTGATTCTGAGGTTAGAGTCCTTTGACTATTAGGTCTTAGGGTTCTGGATTTCTTAATCTTAACCAAGAAAACAAGAGAGATGAAACTGATACACGAGCTAGGATTAACAGGATCTCTCATGCATGAGGTAGAAATGGATCGTTTACCCTTTTTTACTTTAAATTTGAAGCCAATAATTTGCCTGAATAACATTAATGCAGTTGTTGTACACTTGTGTTTTCAGGATATAGCAAGTTGTTAGCAATTATCTTCTCTTGGTGAGCTAAACGGAAATGCTTTGTAGTGTTAAGCCATCTTCAAACATTGGGCAAGATCAGATTCATCAGATAACAACCCGTTGACCTTACTTCTCTTTGTTCATTTCAGAAAAGTACACATCTGCTTGATTCTTTTATATAACAGTCTTATGGATATGGAGGGCTTGCTGCCTGCACTAAAAGTTCTGATAACGGCTGATAGGACTTCTTATCGTGGGTGGTTGACCGGGAAGGCATATATTTGAGTTTATGGATGTAAATGAATGTGGCTTAAATAAATAAATCTTCACTTATGTTTGATTATTTTTAAGTTTGTTTATGTTTGATTCATGCTTGTTAAAAAATTTAGAACTGTATGTGTACATGTATTTATAATTATGTATATTTATTTTATTTTCTTTAATGTTTATAAACATCTTCCTTTCATGTTCATGATTATTCATATCAAACATATTTATTTTCTTTTGTTTATTGTTTATAAACGTATTTATAATTACACATTTAATATCTAAATTATCAGTTTTAGTTCGTTTTATCATCTAAACTTTTATTTTTTTCAAAAGCATACTTAACGTTTAGTTTTGATTTCATTTTAGTACCCATTGTTAAAAACTTATCGTGTTTAATACCTATACTATTAGTTTTGGACTGTTTTAGTATTTTAACTTTCAATTTTTTCAAACTTAACGTTAAGTTTTGAAAGGGGTACTAAAATGAGACAAAAATTAAAATTTTTAACAATGAGATACTAAAATGAAACTAAAACTAAAGTTTAGGTATACATTTGAAAAAAATTAAAAGTTTAGATATTAAAACGGACTAAAATAAACCGTAATTTACTAAAATGAAACTAAAATTGAACTTTAGGTATACTTTTGAAAAAAATAAAAGTTTAGATACTAAAACGGACTAAAAACGTAATTTATTCATTAAATAAATATATTTATGAACATTAGATAAATATATTCAGGTATATAATTGAATATGTTTACAGACAATGAAAAATCTGTTCTTGAACAATAAACAAAACTAGGATAAATATATCTTTTACCTTTTAGATATAAAATAAGTACCTTTAAATATTAAGGTTAAAGTACGTTAACGATTACTAAACTATGCTTAAATGATTGTTTTAGTCCCTAAACTTTTAAAAGTTCTAAAATGACAATAAATGTTTGTTAATTGATTATAAAATAATTATTAAATTTTGTTAAACTATTACGAAATAACTATTAAATTTTTAAACTTTTATAGTTATTATTTTATAATAAATTTAATAATCATTTAATAATTTTTAAAATTTAGTGGCTACAATGATCATTTTAGTATAGTTAAGTGACTTCTGGTGTATTTTACTTGAATTGATAGTACTGTAAACAAGTACATATAAATATTATAATTATTTTTTAAAGAAAATAATCAAAAATAAATAATATAAAAAATCCTAGCCGCTTTCTTCCTCCTCTTCTCTCTCTTTTTTTTTCTTCTTTACAACTTGTGTCAATTTTATTGATCAATCTAATTTTTTCTTTTTTAATTTTGTTTAACCAGCGGTGCTACCGACTTTTATGTTGATTGTCGCCCCCTGGTTATCTTTTTTCTTTGTTTTCTTAGTTCTTTTTAATAAGAATACTTATGTATTTGTGACATGTCTATGTCTTTATGATGCATTTATCTATGTTTTTTTGTTGTTTTAACTTACGATTTTTTTGCTGTTGTTTTCGTTTATTTTTTCAGAGTTGGATTTGACATCGACACGACTGATCAAGATGTCGCTTATTTGTTATTATGTTGATCTTCTCTGCTTTGGACCATCAGATTGATTTGAATACAAGTTTTGCGTTTGTGGATAGTTTTCTCACCTTGCTTGACTCTGATTTGCGATTTGTCGGTGGTCTTCAGTAGCTTCATCTCCTTTTGTAGTTTGTTTACCGACGCAGTCAGATTTGTTCATATCTTTATTTTGTTCGAGCATTGGTTAAATTTTTTAATCTTTTTTTGTCATTGTGTGATCTAAGTGACTATTTTTTGTCAATGATTATAGTAAAATATCCTAATTATAATTTAGTTTATGTTTACGGTTAGTTTGTAAATCTTTATTGTAATTCTATATATTTATTTTTTTAATAAAATTAGAGGATTTCTATAAAATTAATCAAAATTAAATGAATATACTAATAAATGAGTTTATAAATAGATTTCTAAATTTGTTTACGAAGATAAACAAATTAAACAATTGACTTTAGGCTCAGAACCTTCCCATGAACCAATAGATAAAATCCAAACGCAATGGGGCTATATTGGAGCAGTCGGATCCAAAGAGACCCGCCAATCCATTACCATAACCGATGGTTGTGACCGACAGTTGATTCCGAATAGACTCACCACCAGGTCCCATACCACACGGACACGGTGGATAAGAAAAATCAAAACCCAACCAAGCCAAGGGGCATAAATAGATAAATATATACGCTCTTCCTTTTTTTTTTTATCAGATCTCATTTCACCCTGTCCCTTCTCAAAGAAAGCGTTCCTCCACCGTCAAAATGGGGTCTCGATCCATATCTATGAACGATCGGACCGTCTCGATCGTATGGCCGCTCCTCTTCCTCCTTTTGATCCACAGTTCTCACTGCTTCTACCTCCCCGGTGTCGCCCCGAAGACTTCCAGAAGGTAGACTTCCGATTTCTCTGTTTCTTTCTTGTTTGCTTGATCTGGTTTGGATTTGTGGGAGAATAATAGGATTCATATAAGATCCTTCCGAGAGGGAAAATTAATGGAAATAACTTGTCAGATTCAGCTAGGCTTTTTCATTTGAATAAGTTAACTGAAATTTTCACTTGATGATTTCATTTTCCGTTTCATTATTTTATTTGAAAACGTTGATCGTGGACTGATTTAGCTAATTTGTTATTCCATTTTTGGTTTTCATCTAAGGCTTCTGTAATTTTACTTTATGCTGATCATGTTCTTTAATGCTACCTTAGAATAATTATTGGTTAAGATTTAGGAACTGTATCCTAGATTGAGGTTTAATTTACACAATCTGGTTTTTAATTTTTTATCTTCACTTTAACCTCTTTTGCTTTAGATAGGATTCATATAGATCGCTACTGGAAGAAAGTTAATGAAAAATTTGTGTTGGAAATGGAAATTATATCTCAGATTCAGATAGGTCGTTTAAATTAGAAGTTAGAACAAATTAACTTCATTTCACTTAATTTCAGTTTCAGTTTTCCCCCCTTTTATTTGAAAACGTTGAGCATGCATCCTTTTAGCTAATTTATAAATTTATTCCATCTGCCTTCAAATAAATAAATAAATAAATAAATTTATTCCATCCTTGCATTTATCATAGGCATTTGAGATTCTACTCTGCTGTTCATGTTCTGTAATGCTACCTAAGCATACTTGTTCTTTATGGTGATTGATTTGGTTGCATACTTGTCATGCATACTTAATCAGTTATACTTAATGCTGATCATATTCTGTAATGTTACCTAGAATAGTTATTGCTTACGATTTTTAGGAAATGTATCCTGGAAAGAGATTTAATTTATGGAATGTCATAATGGAAAGACCAAAGTATACTTGATTCTTATGGTGTTTGGTTACTTGGTACTTACCACAGGTGCCTAATTGGTAATGATTTTGATTAACCACTTTAGGTTCTCACTACATGCCATGATATTTTGGGGAGTGTTCATTAAGGAACCATTTTGGCCTTCTTTTGTTTTGATTCATTTGTTGGGGTTGCAGGGAGATCCTTTGAAGGTGAAGGTGAACAAATTGACATCAATAAAGACTCAACTTCCTTACTCTTACTATTCGATTCCTTTCTGTCCACCCCAAAAGATAGTTGACAGCACAGAGAATCTTGGGGAAGTGCTTCGTGGTGACCGAATTGAAAACTCTCCTTATGTGGTTAGTTATTAGTATTTCTGTTGATTTAGGGCTGATTGTTTGTTATGGCCACTAACCCTTTGATTTTTAATTAATGCAGTTCAAAATGCGAGAGCCACAAATGTGTACTGTTCTTTGCCGCATTACACTTGATGCCAAAACTGCAAAGCAGTTTAAGGAAAAGATTGGTGATGAATATCGAGTCAATATGTATGCCATTTTATTATTCTGACATGGAATTCATCTTTCAATCTTTTAATAACTAGTTCCTAGGTTCTCTTTCTTATTATTTTTGATTCATTTGACAGGATACTGGATAACCTTCCCCTTGTTGTTCCCATTAGAAGGTCAGATCAGGATTCTTCTGTTTTTTATCAGCTCGGCTACCATGTTGGGCTCAAAGGAAAATACACTGGGGTAAACATTCTATCTATTAAAAGCAAAAATTCTTTAATTTGTGGATATATAGGGTACTATGTCTCTGTCTGCTTATGTTTTCTGATTATTCACAGAGCAAGGAAGAAAAATATTTCATTCACAACCATTTAGCATTTACTGTCAAATATCATAGGGACTCACAAACTGATTCTGCTAGAATTGTGGGATTTGAGGTTAAACCATACAGGTTAGTTCATGTGAATTCTAGCATATTCTACTATATATTTTTTCAATTCTAGGTTTCTGTGGCTGAGATTTTAGTATCATGTTTTGATGCATTTTCTTTGTGTTCTAAAACAATGCAGTATTAGACATGAATATGAGGGGACATGGAATGAAAAAACTCGTTTAACAACATGTGATCCTCATAATAAGCGCACAGTTGTTAACTCCAACACTCCTCAAGAAGTTGAAGCAAACAATGAGATAATATTCACTTATGACGTTGAATACCAGGTAAGCT